CTTTCATTTGAATTCATTGGTTAGTTGTAGTTTTCTACTACTTGGTTCGGTTGGTCTAATGCAGGGGTAGGCAAAATGCGGCCTGCCAGGCTATCCTATCTGGCCCATAGGGCCCCTAAAAAATTTAGAAAATTAATATTTATCTGCCCCAGCTGCCTGTCATGCGACCCTCGATGGCTTGCCAAAATTCAGTAAACAGCCCTCTGCCTAAAATAATTGCCCGCCCCTGGTCTAACAAGTCGCTTCTCAGTCTCTTGAAGGCTCAGATCAGGTGAAAGCTTGTTATGTATTTGGGGCCTGATTTCCTCTCCTCTGCCCAAAGGTGCTGAACTTACGCAGCTTGGTTGCTTCTGAAATTCAGGGGGTTATTTTTGTCTCAAAAAGAGAGAGAGAGAGAGACTCATTTACTCTAAAATCTTTACTGTGTCTTTTCCTGTGTTGCAGTTTTCCAGTTTGAGACTGAATTCTACATCAGTGGACTGGCACCTCTCTGCGACCAGCTTGTCGTACTGTCGTATGTAAAGGAGATTTCTGAGAAAACGGTAATTTATTTGGCATTACAGTTGCACTGCAGCACAAAACCATCTCTTGAGTTGGGTTTAAGCTAGGCACACAAATCTGATTATCTGTGAAGGGATTCGTAGGCAGCTTAGTCTGTAATGAACAATGGATAAAACTTTCCTGACCTATAAAATAAGGTCAAAAGAGGTTGCTTGGACTAATATATTTACCTTGTAGAGGCCCACTTTGCTTCCCACAAGGAACAAAGGGAACAAGACAGAGGATCTTCCCTGGATCTTCTCTCTCTCTCTCTCTTTTTTCCCTGGCATTCATATATGAGGAGAAATGGATTCATCCAGCTGTTATGGTGGGGGAGGGAGGGGGAGACCTTGCTGACACTATGCATTAGAAGAAATGAGAATAGTGAAGTTGATCAGCTCCAACAATAGGGGTCACTGTGGTCAGGGGTGGGGGAATTGCTGAAGCAGAAGCTCATTGTTCCTTTTGCCTCAGAGACATCTGTTTTGTGCACTGTGTCTTTTTATAAATAGGTAGAAATTGCAATTAGCAGCATTAATTCTTACCAGGAGAGAAACTGTCCTGTTTATATTTGATTTGGAACACAAAGTAAAAAAGGGAGAAGGTGAGGGGGAGGGTATCCTTGAGGCCTCAGCGTTAGAGTGGCAGATGCTCTTGATCATCTCTTTGATAGTATGTCTGCATTAGACAATCATCACTATAGTAACCTTAAGCAACTGGGTGCACGTGTTGCTAGGCAATGAAATGCTGTAGGCTCAAACCAACGCTCAAACCTATTGAAATCAATAGGGTTAGCTGCTAGCCCAACTGCAGGACATCAGATGATTATTTTTTTTATTTATTTATTTTAAGGAGAAAAATAATGTCTCCGCCACTTCTCCCAAGAGAGCTAGTGCAGTAGTTCCTCCAGAGAGAGAGAGAGAAAGAGAGTGAATGTATCTGGTAGAGAAAGTGAGGTAAATAAAGAAAAGGTCGGGCGAGGATTGAAATGCTGGTAAGCAAGGAATTGGAAGAATTGTTAATGAAAAAGTAGCATTAGAAAGGAGCTCGGATGAAGCAAGAGGTAATTGGGGAGAGTTGAAGAGATCCTGATGGCCTTGGGGAGCAAGGAGGCAAAGAGAATTTTGGGTAAAGCTATATACTTCATTAGAAGAGAGGTTTTAATGCATTTGCTTTTTATGTGTTTAAGACTAATGCGGATCATGTGAAAGGCACAGACCTAGTCAAACCTCTTCTGTTAGTAAAATCAGAATTATTTCTAACACAGAAATGGGGAGCAGTTGCAGTGAAGGTTTCCTCTGAGCCCTGTCTGTGCGCCTCTGTCTTGTACCAGGGAGGACTATCTCCAAGGATGTTAGGGTAGTTCAGTTTTATGGCTAATTAGTTTGGTCTCTTTGCTGAGATTGCTGGCAAGGCTGTCAGTTATTGCCAGTGATGCTCCTAGAGGAGTTCTGTTTTCTGTGAGCTAATGAGACCACCAGCTTATTTTATGACTGCCAAATAATAACTGCTGTTTGCTAAAAAAAAAAATGGTTGGATTTGAACTAATCATATAGGACAACCACTTTTTTTTTTGAAGTGTAACTTTCTGTTGGGATGGCTGAATCAAGAATGCTAGGGGTAAGTGACCTTTGAGATGTCAACAGCTGCTGAAAGGAGTAATGAGGGCAGTAAAAAACCGCATCTTTCATTGTTGGTTTCTTATTCATAACCAGTTCATTTAAGTGATTGCCATTGGCTTTTAAGAGTATGGCGATACCAAGTCAATAGTTTCCCTTCACCCAAAAGCTTTGAGAGGGCTTTGAGTAGTATGCTCCTGCTTCAGCTGGATTACACACTATGAAGCAAAAAACAAAGAATAGCTGTGTTAACATGTAGTTTTTGTAACGTAATAAGCAGTGTAAATTGTGAAGCGCAAAATTTCCACGTGAACATGTACGTTGAATGTTGTATTTGGTGAAAAGTAATTTTCTACAAAAATGTATACCCAGTATTTAGGGGAAAAAAACAAAACAAAACAAAACAACACCCCTCCCCACCCCCGAAAGGATATTGAGATATGTTTAAGTTAAAATTTCAAGGCAGATTTTTATTTCCTAATCTTCACTTGGCCCTGTTTTCCGGTCATAATATCAGAGCATTTACTCCACTCTTAGCATCACATAAATCTACTACAACACAGCGAAAGAGGCTATTAGCTAATTGTTTCTTATAGAGGTAATAGCTTCATATGTAGACACAACTGTAAGGCTAAGTTCCATACTGGCAATTTGAGCATGTTCATTTTTGATGATGTATCGTTTGCTGAAACCTCAATTGCAAAAGGATTGCATTTAAATCTCGGATGGCCATCAGTTGATATAAGGAAGACATATTGCATAGGATACAATTATTGTGGTTTCATTTTTCTCAGGAAACAGAGTGTTGTGCAAGACCTCGACTGGATATTATTCAGCCCCTTCCTGAATCTTTTGAAGAAATCTCTTCTGATGCTTTAACAGTAAGAGGATTCCAAGAAAACGAATGTAGGGATTATCATTTAGGTGAGCCATTCTAATATGTTTTTGTCATTTGGTTACAAACAGCCTTGCCTTCCTAGTTACTCTTGGAAAAATCAGAACATTGAATGTTATTGTTTGTAGTATACTCTTGCTTTTTTCTATGTCATTCTATGGTAGTCGTAGTTGTCCTATATACTGCAAAAATATGACTTAATATGCCAAGTTTGCTAACTAAAATTACAAAAATGTCAGGAAATATGTATGTTGTTATAACATTACCTGGATTTGTATGCATTGCATTCATTTGCCTGCATTGTACATCCTACATACCTTACTATTGGGACTATTTAATTATGCAGACATAAATGTTGCTATATATCTAACCAAATAATTGTACCAGAGGTACCAACACTCTCTTGCTTTTAGTTTGGTGATGTGATACCATTGGGTTAAAGGTTTCAGGCAAGCCATAAACTTGGCTAAATAATTGTAACCTGGATGTAGTGAATCAGCAAAGTGTTTAAAGGCTGGTAGCATAACTAATGCCAATCAACATGGCTTCAAAGAAAAATAGGGTTTGTTAACCTAACATAGTGTGTGGAAAAATTTTGGTTAGTGAATAAAGGTAACTGTGCTGACATTGACATAAACTCCTTCAAGGCATACAATATCTGCACAATATTCTCTGTAAGTCTTAAGTACTTATATGGCCCCCATTACCACAGTATTTTTGTGCCTTGCAATCTTTATCATTGTCACACTTTTGTGAAGTACTCATCCCCATTTTACAGATAAGGAATTTATACTAAAGTCAGCTATTTAAAAGTATTTTGGTGCCTGATTTCAATAGGCACTTTTGAAAATGTCACTATACACTTAGCTGTACAGGTATAGCTTGAGTGGCTTGAAAACTGTTGAATAAATTTCATAAAGTAAGTGTTGATAGGAAATCATCCAGTAGGTTGTTTTTGATGGGGTTCCCTTGTTCTTGGCTCGGTGATAATCAATATCTTTATCAGTGATCTGGGAAGAGATGTACAATTTCTCCTGTTACTTTTGACACGTGAAATGCGAAGTGATGGAATAGTAAATAATAAGAATAATTCAGTTGCCTTTTTTGAGCAACTGAGCAGAGTTGCAAGTTTTCAAGTTGCAGCAAGGGAGGTTTAGGTTGGATATTAGGAAAAACTTTCCCAATAGGAGGGTGGTGAAGCACTGGAACAAGTTACCTAGAGAGGTGGTCAAATCTCCATCCTTGGAGGTTTTTAAGGCCCAGCTTGACAAAACCCTGCCTGGATTGATCCTGCTTTGAGCAGGGGGTTGGACTAGATGACCTCCTGAGGTCCCTTCCAACCCTAACTTTCTATGCTTCTATGAGTTACTGAACAGGCTGGGTCATTTGATAAATGGCTTTCTTTAAACAACACGCATTTTAAAGCCAAATATAAAATCAAGCATCTAGCAGGGAAAAATGTAGATCTTGCTAACAGAATGAGGGATAGTACCTTGGCAAGTAGTGCCTCTGAAGAATTCAGGTTTGTGATAGACAACCAAATGATGAAGAGCTCTGTCATGTTGGCTAAGAGGACTAATGTGATACTCAAATATAGAAGTTGGAGAAATAGAAGCTAGGAAGTGGTATTTCTTCTGCATATGGAGACCATTGTGGGACTGCTCTGCTCTGCTCTGCTCTGCTCTGGGGTCTGCACTTTAAAGAAGACTGACTAGTTGGAAAAGATTTAAAAAATGGAAACCAAGAAAATTCAACTTCTCAACAAATGGAATTAGAACAGGAATTTTAATAAGTTTAAGCTTGATTGAGTTATCCAAACGGACTTATCAGCGCATCATGGCATGTCTAAAAATCATAATTTCTCAAAGGCTCCAATTTAGCAGATAGAAGAATAAAAATTTGTAATGGACAAAATTTGGTGCTAGACAAATTCAGAATAATGAGGCACACATTTTTAACAATGGGGGTGACTGTAACCATTGACAGAATATCCCTGAGAACGTGGTGGATTCTCTCATGTGAAATCTTGTAAGTGAAGACTGGATACTTTTCTAAAAGACCTACTGTAATTCAAACAGGTTATGGGCTTGATGCAAAATTACAGGTTGAAATTCTATAGCCTGCATTATGCGGATGAATAGTAATGGTCCCTTCTGGCTTTTCAAATCTATGAATCTGATTTTAAGCATCTTATCCAGAAGTACACTTTAAATCAAAGTGGATCTGCCAAACCTACACATAGATCATGCCCTTAAGCAACCAGAATGCAGCATACCCACTTCCAGTCTCCAGACCAGTTTGTTCCCATCAAGAGCATTGGACAGTCCGGCAGTCCCCATGGTTGTGCTTCACTATTCATCAAATGTTTTTGATTCATCAGTTGTGTATAAACGTTTTCTGATGGTTTCAAATGCAGTGTGAGAAACATTATTTAGACTATTGATAATATTGAGGGTTTCTGTTTACAAATGATTGGAAGTGTTTCTTTTCTGGCTTTGTAGTAAGAGTTTTACTTTGAACAGTCGTTGTCTATGGCTGGTTTAACCTCTAAGAAAAATTTTAGTCTAAGCTTACTCAAAATAAGGACTTGTACCAAAAGTGAATGCATTATACATATAACCTTAACTTATATCATTGCAAATGCATTGCTGTAATGATGTACCATGTCCCCAAGGGTTATGGCATCTATCATTTATGCTTTTGATGGTCTTGACCTTGATGGGGAGGATACATTTATTGCAGGGTATGTAGTATAATAGTCCCCTAAAAGTATAATAGTGTGTTTCTAAACCATCATAAAGTTTATACATAGTGGATGAATCAGAATTTGCAATAAGCTGTGGTGAGTTTTGAAAGCTATTTTACCATTTAAACCAGTTTTAATTTATTGGAAATACAGCATCCAAAATCATCATGTTCTGCTGGAGTAGCTTGCTTTCTTGCCAGCCTCTCTCTTTTCCCCTTCCCCCAAGGGTGTACTAAAATGCAAGGCTTTACTTCTGGAAAACATAATATAACAATAAAATTTCATATGCATTTTCAGAGTACTCGGAGGGCGAATCGCTCTTTTATATTATCAGTCCAAGAGATGTTGTTGTGGCAAAGGAACGGGACCAAGATGACCACATTGACTGGCTCCTGGAAAAGAAGAAATACGAAGTAATTTTTACAGTAGTGCCTTTAGTTTCTTGTGTCTGAAAGCTTGTGTGGCAGCAGTAAGCATTGGCCTTGCATGTGACTGAATAAGGCTTCTATTAAGTTAGTTACGCACAAGCATAATTGTTCACATGACCTAGTCTTGTTTGCAGTTAAGTTGATTGGGAATCTGCTAAATTATTTGTATTTGTATCCATCCAGATAAAGTAAAGGAGAGGAGATTTAGTGCAGCAGAATTCACCATTTTATTCCTGTGTTAGGGTTAGGTTCATGGCTCCTGGTTAGTTGTTGGAAACTGTCTCATAAGAAACAAGCAACACATTACTGTTTCAGCTGTTGGTGCCTAGTGTCATCTGACTTCCAAAGATGCAGACACCCACTGTGGTCATTCACTACAATGGGACGGATGGCACAAAGAACCTTTGAAAAATCTACACATTTACCATTAGATACCTAGATCCAATTTTTTTAAATAACATTTAAGAACCTACTGTTTGTCTTTACGTGGATCCTTTTAGTCAATATTAATACAACAGCCCAAGTTCTTTGGTTTCTGATGTCCCTGAGTGATACTTTAGAGAACTGTACAGAGAGCTTTAAAAGAAATTTTGCAACTTAACTTTTTTATTTACAGAATGCCCATGCTTTGGTGTGTATGTAGACTGCTTAGCACACCCCTGGAATATCAGAACTCAGTTCTGATGCAAGGAACTTAAAAACATCCATGCAAGGCTGTGGCTTCTGGGGAATGCATTCAAAATGGTGATTGTAGTTTTGTAGTTCATGCAAAACAGACTGGATCCCACAAGACTCAAGCACTTCCCAAGTACAGCTCTGTCTCTTGGACCCCTGGCGCACATTTTGTTTAATGGTACAATGGAATCTGATTCCTGATCCCAATAATCATGCTGCCTGCAATGCCACACGTGCTCAGGCTCTCTCCGTATTGGCAAGTTGAACGCTAAGGGCATGCACATGGGGTTGACAGTCAGCTAATTGTCAGCACCCACCCTAGAAAGTGTCAGGTCCTCCTCAGGTGGGGCTGTCAGCACAGACAATCAGCTGATTGTTGGCCCATACTCAGGCAGTCCTGGGTTTGAGACCTGAGGCCATCCAGGCTGGAGCCAACAATCAGTTGACTCTCAAAACCCCACAATGGGCAACACTGGCTGGGCTGCTCAGCACAGGGAACAGAGGCTTCTCCCCAACCCCTCCAGGAACATCTGCTGCCTGACATGAGTTTTATAGTCCTCAGCCAATGCTCTCCTGTGCCAGACAGCCTATCCAGAGATGCCCAGCACAGGGTTTAAAGTCTCCAGTGGGATAAGTCTATGCCCTGCCTTTCCACATTAGTGGGAGCCTCTTCTCCCCCATGCCAGGCAGCTCTAGTGTGAGGTTTAAAGTCCTCAATGGGGGAAGGCTTTCAGCTTCCCCCTCCCGCACCCTACCCCACCCCACCTCAGTCTGGGGCCAACAGTCAGCTGATTGTTGGTACTGGAGCCATTCCAGACCCTGGTGCAGTCTGGGTCCACAAACCAACAGTTCATTTTTAGTCCCCAGCCACACATTAACTTTAACTTTAAAGCACAATAGAAATGAATCAAAAATATTCTGAGCTATGTGGAACACTTTATGGCTAGTTCCCCATTTTATGGCACTTTAATTGGGTGCATGAGGAGTGCCTTTCCTAGTTATGCTGCGGTTAACACTTGAATTGCAGCATAAATGTAATAATGTATAATGGAGGCCTTGGTGAAAGCCCCCTGGCTACTAGTTGGTGACTGGCTTTTGTTATGTTTCATATTAAGGTTTAACTTTTCATATGCTGGTAAAAGAACTAGCTCTGTTGTGTATATTGGAAATAGGTAAATAAAGAGTTGCAAGTTCAACTTAATGAAATAAATCATTCTGACGAGAAGGGGGCATTTTTTGGTTGGTTGGTGTGGAGGATGGAATGGGGAAATGTACAAGATAAGCCCTTCTCAAGCTAATTTTTTCACCAATTGCTTTGCTAGTGGAGGATTTTTGTTTGAAAATAAGTCATTGGAACTGCATTTTATATTGTGCTATAGTCTTGATATTTGATCCTAATATACTAATGTGGAGTGAGCCCAGATGGAAACAAAAATAGTTCTTTTTGGTTGACTGCTTTTGTTTTGTGTATGAATTCAAAGCTGTTCATCCAACCATGGCATTAAAAATTCTAGTGCTTCAAACATAACACACAGAAAAAGAGTCTGATTTATGCAGTTCTAGAGCATCCTATATAGAAGTTTTGTGTATTTGACTTGTATATGCCGTTTTTCTATTCTGTGACTGTAGGAAGCATTGATGGCAGCTGAGATCAGTCAAAAGACCATGAAAAAGCATAAGATTTTGGTAAGTCTAAAAAAATTCCTCTTCAACCCAAAACAAGAAATAGCTCACGCTTTTTAGAACGTTAGGAGATGCTAAGAATATTGGTTATATATTTCTTCTGTATTAATCCAGACAATTGTTGTTAGGCACTCTCCCAGCTGAATCTGGTTTTGTGACATTAGCCTGAAAACAGAGCATCCGTGCTTAGAATTTGTAAGGCTACTGAGCTAACAGGGACAGTAAGCATAAAAATCGCACATTTCTAAGGAATTTATTTATTTTTGAATGTTGTTGTCTAAAGGAAAACAATATTGTAAGCAACTGAAAATCTGGCTGGGGGGGGGGGGGGGGGGATTTTAATTCTAATTGGGGGGGGGGTGAGTACGTTTCAGTCTGAATTTCTGCATTTGGCAGCACTTCGGGTAGGAATATCAAAGGAAACCTAAGGTTTCCACATCCTACTGAAATTCGGTTGAAACTGAACCAGGCCTTAACTGACTTTAAAATTTTTGAAAGTTTCAGTCTTTAACATAGTGTCACTGTTTGCCCTTGTATGGAACTTTTGCATAGCAATGAAAAGGATAGAGACATTTGTAGTAATAGGAAAACGTTGTTTTTAAATAACAAAAATCAGCATGGCTTTTAACTTCTTTTTTTTAACTGAGCTAGATGTAAAGCCTGTTCCTTTGGCTGTGAACTGAAATGCTGTATTTCAAAAACAAGTACAATGTAGTGATCGAGCTTTTAAATTTATAACCAGTTTTATAAGCAAACCCTGATCATTACAGAAACATATATTTCAAAAGTAAGCTAAAAGCTGTTTTACCTGCTTCAGCCATAGTCTAGAAGTCAGCTTTTCATCTCAAACTAAAGACATCACCAAAACCTCTCAAATTAAGTAGCTTATGCTTTAGCTTGCTTGTGATGCTTTCTAAAGAAATGAGGAATCCTGAAGACAGGTCCTAGCCAGGAAGTGGGAAGAAGAAATACTTTTTGTATGACTTGCAAAATGTGTTCTGTTGGGATGAAATTTAGTTAATCCTGTGCAGCCTCAGTTTTATTGGACTGTTGGGACCTGATGCAAAGTCTACTGAAATCAATAGAAGTATCATTTGATTTCTAGGGACTTTCAATCACGCCCTAAGTGGTTGAAGTCCTCTGGGGTTATGCAGCAAAATATGCTTGTTCTTTCTAGTGAGGGCAAAGGCATAAGGTTACTGGACAGAATGTTTTTTCCAGGGACTTCATAGAATGCTACAGTGACCACAGCCACTGTACACTACTAACCAAATGCAAGAACCACTCACTTTCAGCATAACTGTAGATCCTTTGCCACCTTCCCCTACTGCCCCCCATGCTACTTGCTACCTTAGCCTTAGCAGGGCCATTCTAAGATAGTGATGGATGAAAATTACCAGGGTGCAACATTTGTTTTTGTTCGGCATTGCAACGAAAATTTGCCCTTTTAGTATTTTGGGTTCAGAGAGAGATTGACAAACCTACCACAGAATAGCCAAGTGATGAGAGCACCCTTCTGAAATATGGTAGACCTGTGTTGAGGTCCCCTGTCTGTTTGGCTCTTCTCTTTTTTTACTTAAAAATATCACCCTACAGAAGCCTTCCCAATCAAAGTTTTTTTTAAGGTTTAGACAACAGTATTTTGTCAAAAAATTTCCAGGCATATCTCTGGTAGAGTCCTTCAGGTGGCAGGGGAGGCTCATGCATTGTTACTGCTTGGCTTAAGGTGTGCATTGAGCCTTGTATGTGAATCCCACAAGATAAAACAGTTTCTAGATTATTTGCTACATCTCAATATAAAGCTCTACATTGGGATAAATTCTTGAGTAGGGATTTATTATGTGAATTTACTAGGCAGACAGACCTTTAACTAATGGGGTTTGAATAGAAACAATATGATGAAAAATTTTTGGATAATAAATCCTACAACCTAGTTTCTTTTTCCTACTTCTATGTAATGGAATGAGTAGCTTGCTAAAACATCAGTAATTCCTCTATTTTATAGAGCAATGTATGTTCTCCCTAAAATATTGGCCCCCATATTGGGGTCAATATTTTAGTATCCTTGAACTAACTGACCCAGATACCAAATGCTCAGATAGATGCTTTGAGATGCCAGGACTTGGGGAAATAGCAGACATTTCCCATTATGGGAGAAATTGTGACCAGTTATTTACCGCAACGTTTTAACGTGAAGGTACGAGCTTAAAGTGAATATTTTGCTGCAATTTGATATACAGTCTACTATCCCTGTTTAAGAAAGGGAAATCCATGGAAACGAGGGTGAGTGGTTGACTTGACAAACCACAAAATGCATACGTGGCTGACATGATAGCTTATTATGTCAATAAAATACCTAAATTTCAGGCTGTTTGACTTGCCAAATAGATGGCTAATTGGTCTAACTTCTACTTTTTTGTTTTAGGATATAGGCTTAGCCTATATCAATCATCTAATGGAGAAAAGGGACTATGACTTGGCTGCTAGGTAATATATTTAAGATTTTTTTTTCAGTGTTGTTGAGGGCATTCGGGATGGGTGGGGTTACAGGGGTGGTTGTGAGTGTGTACAGTAGATCTTTAAAAAAAAAATGTCCTTATCTGTGAGGATGTCTGATATGAACATTTAAAATTCGCTACTTATATTTTTCATGACAGCTTGAAGGTAAAGCACCTCAGTAGTTTTAGCTACATTAGAAAGATTCATAATACATATTTTTTCAATATAAGATTTTATTCTTCTAAATCCAGTTAGACCCTTGAAGTTTAATCTGCTTGATCCACCCATTGTGGTTACATGCTTAGGTGATAATTCACAATAATACTGAGGATACCTGTATAGACCAAAATTTTTCAAACTTGGGTACTTAAAGCTAGGTACTTAAATCTATATTTAAGCACTTAAAATACTATCAGACCTCTTTTATTATTATTTTTTTTTTAGTTGTGTGTGGTTCTCAGTTACAGAGACTCAGGTACAGGGAACCTTTTATTTTTAGGTCCTGGATTAGCCATGGCTGAAGTCACAGTTAGGATGTTGCATTTTACCACCACATCTAGTAGGCTAGTGACCCCTTCTGGATAACCAAAGGAGTTGTTCTGATGTGCTTTAAAGGAAAATGTTTCTGGTACATCTTGTTTGGAGCAACGTTTACCAAAATGTAGGACTTTGAAAGGTGCTGTGGTGGGGGAAGATGGTACATGCTCACTTTTATTATTCACGCATGTAACTTTTTTTATTTGTAATTTCTCCTGATTTGTTATCCACAGAAAATGCCAGAAAATACTTGGCAAGAACACAGACCTCTGGGAATTTGAAGTTTACAAATTTAAAGAAATAGGGCAACTTAAGGTAGGTTAAATCCTATTTCTTAGCTGATGTTTCTTGTATAATACATCCTATACTTATTCTGCAGAGTCTGATGTTGACCAGCTGGGATGACAGAGCTCAAATCATTCAACCAGAATTTTAGTGTGCATACTCTTGCGTATGGTCCTAGTTTACTACTAAGCTGGTTTTAAAATCAAAACTAACCCCACCAATTAACAAAATCTGCAATAGTATGGTTGTTATAAGGGTGGATTTATTTTTAAAGAATATCAAGCCTTCTTTGAAATGGAATAGGTTTTTTTCCCCTTATGTCACACAGAAAATGGTAGCAGGGAAGGGAAACAGTCTGCCCCTTCTTGTATTTTGCCTCATATTGGCATGGAGAGACGGGTACAGAAAATACATTTGCTGTTGAGTCTCAGTGAATAAATTGCCCATGACATAAGGTAAAAATGTTGCCACTCCCAAATCAGTAGAAGCATAATGCATACTTTCTTTGATAATGTGTGCACATTTTATTTCTGAATTTTATATCTTCCTATTGAACCTCAATGAGCCTAAAAGGACATATTATTAAGATTTCACAGCATGTAGTCCCTTGCTGGTTTTGAGATGTTTAATTCTGTTCAAAAAGGGGAAGCATTTCAGCATATTAGACATTTCTAAAAAAACTGTAATTTCTCCTTTTGAGTGATTCCAGTGAGAGAACAACACTGTCTTATTTTTAAGAGTTCGTAGTGGTTCGGTGAACTCTGCCACACTGAAAGATAAAATCTCATATTTGTCTCTTTCTGTTTCAAACCAGTAAGGGACCTGAGGTGAAATGTTGATATATTCTTTTTTAGCCCTTTTGGGTTTATTTTCGTATTGGTTGTGAGTGTCTAGAGTAGATGTTTCTTCTCTCCACTTATGTCATCCAGCAGACTAAAATATAAAAATATTTGTGGGTTTGCTGCAAAAACCTCTCTGTTAAATTACTGCCTTTCTAAACAGTTGGTTGTTTTCACCGTTCTGAAAGCCAATTGTAGAAAAACATTAAGATGCAGTATGTTACATTATTCACCTTCAAGCTGCGGTTCCAGAATACTACTTTCTTCATTTCCTATTACAATCATATGGTCTTGCTCAGGTTGTCATGGTACCTGAGTGCTACAAAGAGTTAATGAACCCTTAATTGGTCTAAAAGGACTGATTTCTGAAATGTGTTATTTGTTCTCTTGCATACAGGTTCTCTTGTAATCCATGACCCAGCAAGCACATACTGGATAAAGCAGCTGAAGCACATTTTAACAGTAGTTGCTAATCTTTTAGAGGAAGCGTTGGTTGAGAGAGAGGCGCTTCTCAACTGTGCAAGATAAAGTAAAACATTTTAAAGCTAAGAACCAAAAACTGCTAGGTATTGCCATTATGCTGTCTACTGTCATGATTTTTATCCCTAATTTTAAAAGGGACATCACTTATAGAAATTCCCTCCATATATAGGGTGTCTTGAAATGCAATAAATGTTTCCAGTAAGGAAGAGTGTAACAGTGAGGATCAGGTTTAAAAATTCTTCCTCTGTGGAACAGAGTACACCAACCCTGCACTATTGAAGTCAGTGAGGTGGACTATGAATTGGGGCCCAAATATGAAGACACTTAGCTCCTAATGGAGTCTACTTCCAGAGTATCCTGATCATTTTACCAGAAAATCTGTGTGGTTGCCAAAGGTTGAAGCATAGTGTCTGACTCTCATGGTTTTCTGTGGCTGAGGGCAGTGGGCAGGGCTTCCTCAACAATGGATTTGATCTTATGGGTGTCCACAAAGCTGAAGAAGTTGTAGATCTGTATTCCTCTTTCATTCTTTTGTGTGATATTAACATCCTCACTCCTGGCTGGGGTCTCCCTGCATGTACTTGTACACACAAACACTCTCACACAAATCCCTGTATCTGCTTATCAACATTTGGAAACATTTTCAAAGAGTAGATTTGGTAGGTGTGGGGAGAGAGAAAGGGAAAAGCCATGCGATAATCTGATTTCCTGTAGTGGACTGAAATGGTACACGACTGGAGTACTAACGCATCCAAAGCTTGGAGCTACCTCATGGATTTCCTGCCTAAACCAGGGATTTTAAAAACACAGAATTGAGAGTGTTAGCAGCCAGGAGTTCAGCTTTGAACACGTGTTGGTTTCAAACAATTTAGGTGCTTTTGTGTCCCTGGCAACCACTGAGACCAAAATGCAAGAAGGAATAACACTTTCCTTTTGAAGAAGTAGTGTTAAAGCTCTTGCTACAGTTGGGCTTCAGAGAGAAGCAGTATTATTCCTTTTGTAGGTTGGCTTCAGCACTAAGGAATGGTCTGGACTGTTTTGCACAGAGGTGATATATATGTGCATCTTGGCCAAGAGTGACATGAAGGCTTATGGATTAGGCTTTTAAAATTAGAGGTCTAATTTAGGGGGCAGCTGAGGTGGGAGAAGGTGAGAATTGCAGTTTAAAATTGCCTCTACTTTCCCATTCTCCACTCTGAGTCTTGCTTCCCTGTCTTGTGACTTTCTAATTTCTCCATTACAAGGGGTCTCTGCATGGCACAACAATGTGCTGGGGTACACCAGCTTGCAGGACAGTGTCCCAAGTTCATTGTACTTAATAGTTCTAATTTAAAGTCTGTAATAAAAAGTAGAAGCTGTTGGTGGCCATTAAGAAACAAGCAACAGGTAGAAAAGCAGCCTTGCTCTAGTGCAGTGGGGGCCAACCTTCTTTGGCAGGTGTGCCACAATTTAGCTCTGCAACCTTCCTCTCCTTATCTGCTGCTCTGCTTTCTATTTCCAGTCCTGTCCTTTCTATCCAATTTGCTGCTTTGCTTTCTGCTTCCTGCTCTATCTGCTTTCTGTGCTGCCTGTTGCCCACTTCTCCCCCTTCCCTCCTGCTTTGGAGGCTGTGCGCACCATTTGTAGCACGTGTGCTACAGGTTGGCCACCCCTACTCTAGTGGAGTGGGGTAGGAGAGCTCTCCTTAGAGCAGAGGAGATTTTTTTTTAATCAGTCAAAAAGCACACATATCAAATCCATTCAAAGCTGTAAAGTGAGCGCGTGGCCTGGTGGTTTTTTTTGTTTAATAATGTTCATCCTTCTGCTATGAATTGCCTTTCAAAGGGAAAGGAGATTTTGTCTAAATCCCTCCAACAATTGTTTTATTGTAAACGTTATCAAAGCAGTTGTTGAGAACTGTCAAGTTAGGTTTTGATGAAAAATGATTACTCGTTTTTCCCATATTTCTGAACTATTCTGTCAGACACATTGAGTGTAATGACAGAAAGTTACCCCAGCGTAGGACAGCAGGGGAACATCTCTGGTGACTTGAACAAGATACTTGGCCTTCAGTCATGGACCACAAAGTCACAACACAGCAATGGTAAAAGTCCCACTGCTATAATAGCATCATCTAACATTTTGCTAGAGTAATAGTGCTTAATATCATGCTATGCTAGGATTATATAGTAAGAAGTGATTTTACCTCTAAAATGGGCTCCTCTGATTGTCAGGATGCTGTTACTTAAGAACACTTTTAAAGCAGCTTATTGAAACGTTCTGGTTTTGATAAAAAGGCCACCTACAGCAGCTTTTGATTGAAAGGCCATCTTCAAAGTCATAATCTGACTTTACAAGTTGTGTGCCAGAATTTTCCCTATGTCTGGATTTAGTTGTCATTTAGATAAATGTGAATGGTTAGTAAAGAAAAGCTCTTTATTGTGAGTAATTAATATACATTTATTTAAGTAGATTTTTATACAGTAAAACTTATATCTTGATTTATCTTTTAAATAGCCCAGGTCAATAAGGGTGGACTAAATAGTCACTCTTCCCAAAAGCTCAGAAACTTCTTTTTATTTAAAAAAAAAAAAAAAGAGAGAGAGAGAGAGTGTGAGATTTAATCCCCAACGCAATTAATTTTGGCGCACAACCCCCTTATAGTATAAAGAAATGCCTAGTAACACTGACTGACTTCCAATTCTATCTGTGTCTTATTGTTATGAAAATGCTCTTGGGTAGTAATAAATTCAGTTACGTGCTATTTTAAAGCTGAGTACAATATAGGACTATATTTCATAGTTTCTAGGGTCAGAAGGGACCTGGGCAGATCATCTAGTCCGACCCCCTGCCATGGCAGGAAAGAGTACTGGGGGTCAAACGACCCCAGCAAGATGGTCATCTAACCTCCTCTTAAAAACCCGCAGGGTGGGAGCCTGCACCACCTCACTTGGAAGCTGGTTCCAGACCCTAGCCGCCCTGACCGTGAAGTAGCGCCTCCTGATGTCCAACTTAAACCTTCCCTCCGCCAGCTTGTGACCGTTATTCCTGGTCACTCCTGGCAGCGCTCGGGGGAACAGGGACTCCCCCAGTGCCTGTTGATCCCCCCTGACTAGTTTATAGCAGGCCACAAGATCCCCCCTCAGCCTTCTCTTCTGGAGGCTGAACAGGTTCAGGTCCCGTAACCTTTCCTCATAGGACCTGCCCTGCTGTCCCTTGATCATGCGAGTGGCCCTCCTCTGGACCCTCTCGATGCTGTCCACATCCCTCTTAAAGTGCGGCTCCCAGAACTGGACGCAGTACTCCAGCTGCGGCCTGACCAGTGCCGCATAGAGGGGGAGGATCACCTCCTTGGTCCTGCTTGAAATGCATCTGGTGATCAAGCTGACCCTGATCAGAGAGGCAAGATCCTATAGCAAGAAATCTCTGGGTTTAAGTCCCATCAGAAGGATTGGTCCACTTCAGTCAATATCCCCAGCCTGGGCTGCAGCAAACACCCAGTGCCCCCCACATCTTGGTATCATCAGCAAATTTGAACAGGGTGCTTTGCACCCCCTCATCCAAATCACTGATGAAGATGTTGAACAGGACAGGCCCGAGGACCGAGCCCTGCAGGACCCCACTGCCCACGTCCTTCCAGGCCAAGAAGGACCCATCCACTATCACCCTCTGGGTGCGGCTCTGTAGCCAGTTGGCGACCCATTGGACTGTGTGGGTGTCTACGCCACAGTCCCCCAGTTTCCTAATGAGAACGGGGTGAGAGACAGTGTTGAAAGCCTTCCGGAAGTCCAGGAAGACTATATCCACTGCTACCTCTGCATCCAATGATTTAGTGACCTGATCGTAGAAGGCCACCAGGTTGGTCTGACATGACCTGCCGCTGATGAACCCGTGCTGGTTCCCCCTGAGCATGCATTTCCCTGCTGGCCCCTCCTGGATGTGTGCCAGAATAATTTTCTCGAACAGCTTGCCCAGGATCGATGTAAGACTGACTGGCCTATAGTTTCCCGGGTCCTCCTTCCTCCCCTTTTTGAAGATGGGAACCACGTTGGCCCTCTTCCAGTCCTCCGGCACCTCTCCAGAGCACCACGAGTGCTCATAAAGCTGCGCCAGGGGACTTGCAATGACCCCGGCCAGTTCCTTTAGAACTCTAGGGTGGAGATCATCCGGACCGGCTGACTTAAAAACATTTTATTTATCCATATTTAGAAATATGGAAATACTTGCAAGATAGTGAAGTCTGGTTTATTAGTCACCGGGATAACTAAGTCATCATTATAATCTTATTAGTCAGGGCAGCATTCAGTCTCTGCTAGAGTCCCATCAATTTGTACAAAAATCACCTTGACTAATGTGGCATCTGCTATCCCATATTTAATCATTGCCACTTGCATGTGCATAGAATTACGCTCATATTAATCAGTTCGTTAAAAAAGTACTGACCAATGCTATCCAGAGCCTCTGTCAAGTCAGCTGACACTTACAAAGCACTGGATACCCTTCAGCTTTTCTTGGCTCGTTAAGACACAGACAATCAACCACTCCATTTTTCTGAATTTATTTTCAGTTCTGGCAGTGAGTGCAAATTATAAATCTCTGGATTATGGTGCACATTCATCATTGAATGATGTAGTGGGATCTGATCCTTAGTCCCAACAGTTGCATCTCCTGCCATGCCACATGTATGTCAGGACGTACCATTTTGGGGTCAGAGATCCACTGACGCCATTACTACTTGCCTGTGCAAAGAGTGTCCAGGATTCCAGCTTCCCCTGAACTGGCGAACTGAAAGCTGGGTGCTCACAGCTTGGCTGAACCCAAGTGGTCCTGGGGGCAGGACTGAAATTTGGCTGATTGTTAGCCCCAGTCCTGGGGCTACACTGGGGCCAACTCCAGACTCTTGGGGCTGGGACTGAGTGTCAACTGATTGTTAGGACTGCATTGGAGTTTTGAGCCAACTCTATTTCCCCTGCCACATGTTCAATTTAAGGCATGATGGCAGTCAGCCACAAAAATGATATGCATCTTTTGGGCAATATTTTTATGGCTAGTTTTTTGGGCCATTCATTCCTTTAATGTTTGGCAGGGCTACTATTTATGGTGGGATTAACAGGTTAATCGTCTCTTAATTGTAACATCTGCCAGGAGCCTTCAGTTACTTTATTTCCTCATAATATTGTAATTCTGATGTAGTGAGTGAGTACTCTGAATTTTTATAAACAGAAATGCATATATTTACATATCTGTATAATCATGCAGTTTTCATAGCAAGTCACAGTGGGTACAGTTTGCGCTTGGAATTTTTGTAATAATTGTTTCCGTCTTATAAATGGCAAAACATCATTTTTTAGTTTGTATGGATATAAAATACAAAATACATCCAACAAAGTTGAAAATGGCTAATTCCTGGTAGTTAGAGAGGTAGTTAGCTATGTTAATCTGTAAGCAGATGGCAGAGCAGTGGGGTACCTTAGAGACTGAGTAATCCAGAGAGCCAGAGCTTTTATAGCCTACTGCACCAAGAAGAATGTGGAGAAGCTTGAAATAGCCCAGAAAAAAGTTGCTCATATGATTAGGGACCTGAAGAACAAGCTATACGAGGGAAGGCTGACAGATATGGGACTGTTCAACCTAGAAAAGAGAAGCCTTTGAGGTCATTTGGTGGCAGCTTATCTTATATTTGGTGGCATATATATCAGGGGTAAGCATCAGGGGTTAGGTGAACCACTATTCACCAGAGTGCCCTGGGGAAAACCAGAAGCAACTGTCATAAACTCCTAGAAGAAGGTTTCAGACTGGATATAAGGAAAAACTTCTACACAGTTCCTGTGACCAGACTCTGGAATAGACTCCCAGTGGGAGTGGTGCAGACACCTACCCTGGATATCTTCAAAAGGAGACTGGACGCACATCTTACTGGGGTTATTTGACCCCAGCAGTCTTTCTTGCTGAGAGCAGGGGGGCTGGACCTGATGATCTCACGAGGTCCCGTCCAGCCCTAAACTTCTGTGAATCAAATGATAGCCTACAAAAACTTATTTCTCTCTCTATGAGTTAGACTATAAGGTGCCACACTGTCCTGCCTTCTACTGGTAAATTAATTATGGGGAGTTTGTTGTTACCCAGTTCCCTTGGAATGAAAAATTAATCAGATTTTGCTACTTATATTGGAAGCACTTATTCATTTTGCTGGAATATTTGTACAAAAAGAATGCTTTAAATTTTGACCCTATGCTATTTTGTTACCTCTTGCAGGCAATTAGCCCTTATTTACCAAGACGGGATCCAATTTTGAAGCCTCTCATCTACGAAATGGTCCTTCATGAGTTTTTGGAAAGCGATTATGAGGTACTGATGCATCCACGTGTAATTGTCATTACTAGCAAAATACTGTGAAACTATCAGCAGATTCTCTATTGTAGTAAAAAAAAGAACATTAATGGTAAACTTAACAAGAATTAAAACAACAATACCAAACTGATTTTTTTTAATATATTCTGAAATGTTTTTCTGTATACCAAATGTAGCTTTGTATTATTGATACAAAGCTATTAAGCTGTGTTAGCCTGAAATCAGGCGGGAGGTAGGTCAGGTGGCCCCTTTCATACTGAATGGTTCAGAGAGACTTGAACTTCTGTGGACAAGAGCCTACTTTGTTAGGTGCTTTGTCAGAGGGTAGTGAGAATTGGGTTGGTTCATTCAGGGTTAAACTTTAAGTGATGCTAGCATATTTGTCTCCTTTACAAGCATGCAGAAGTAAGTTGTGACAAGACAACTGAATTATGCTCCCAAGCAGCAGATGCTCCTGGCATTTTGAAGTGGTTAAGTTTACCTGTGTCCATAGCTCAGTGATCGTTTTTTAAAGTGACTTCTTACCTTTCTAAATTCTCTAAATTCTCTCTTGTTTTCTCAAACTCTGGCAAACAGCACAAGATCTCTTGATCAAAAAGGAGCAAGAGCACTTTATAGAACTTTAAGAGAAGGAAAGAAAACTATACTGCAGAAATGATGTGTGACAGTGTATAGTTGATTGAACATGAGGTTGATCCGAGTTTGCTGCTTGGCATACAACTATATTTCTGTTGACAGTCTCCTCTGCTTTTAGGGCTTTGCAACGCTGATAAAAGAGTGGCCTGGAGACCTGTATAACAATGCCATCATAGTGCAAGCCGTGGTGGATCACCTGAAGAAAGATCCACAGAATAGGACCTTGCTCAGAACTCTTGCAGAGTTGTAAGTGCATTTTACACATGTCAGGCTCTAAGGGTGTTTATACACATGCTTGGGGCAGTGGGTGGGGGAGTGCTTTAATTACAGTGGCTCCAAAAGCTGATTTAATTAAAGCACCCGTAGCGTCATGTGTATCAGTGTCCCCGTGCTGAAAAATGGCGGCAGGGATACTTTAACTAAAGCTCATCGAATTAGCTTTAGGTAAAGGGCCCCTCTGCCATTTTTCAGCACAGGGATGCTGATTCATACGGTGCTGGAGTAATCTGGGGCATGGTAATTACCACGCTCCAGCGAACTTGTTTAATTGAGCCTGCTCCGATGCACTGCAATTGCAGCGAGTCAGAGAAGCCTCCCTGCCTGTGTATAGGCACCCCAAAGGTTTCTTTCTGCAGCAGTATTGTATTTGCCCTTATGTTAAAGTATTTGGCCACCTACCATAATAGAAGTAATTGCTGCTCTTAGCTTTCTGCACTATCAACCTTTTTTTTTTTTTTTTTTAAATTTCCGACTCCCCTATGTGGAAGGCAGTGTTTAACAGTTCTTCTCTCTTGCATTAGTTAAAGTACGTTAAAAATTAAACAGAAGAACTGTGAGGGAAGATTGGATTTTCCAGCTCCCTTTCCTCCTACCTCCCTGTTTTTTGTTGCCTTTTTTGTGGACAGTGTCTCTTCAAAAAATACATAGAAAGAAAATGAAGTGACATCTTCTTTCTCTTGAATTTCAGAAAGTGTTACAGTTGAGATATACAACAGGGTTGGAAATCTGTGATTAGAAAATGTCTAAAAAAAATGATTTGATAAGGCACACTTGGTCTATTGACATAGCCTTGCATCATTGACTCAGTCTGATATCCTGATAAAGAGGTACAACAGTCTGCAGTTCTGCCTCTAAAAAGAGGGAAAAAATCCTGTTGCTCAGTGACAACCCATTCCAATTATCTTAAGATGGTAGCACTGAATAGCTCTGGAAGGAGTTCTGCTTAGTCCTCTATATTTAGAATTAAAGGGCTTTGAAGAGAGAGGAAAAGTTGTAGGCTGACCTCATGACAGCATTAATAATTATTAATTTAATGACCAAAGCTATAAACAGATTTCCCAATGGCTTGCATTTCTTTTGAGAGATTTTTCCCCCTGAATAAAAGTGAAGCATTTCGACTGTCACACGTGTTTTTCCATTTATGTAATGTCTTGCCTTAGATCGCAGTATAACTTGATTTACTTTCAGATCATAACATGTCTTTTATCAGGTATACCTATGACCAGCGCTATGGGAAAGCCCTTGAAATTTACCTAACCTTGAGACACAAAGATGTTTTCCAGTTGATCCACAAGCACAATCTGTTCAGTTCTATCAGAGACAAAATTGTTCTCCTTATGGATTTTGATTCAGAGGTACAATGACTTTTAATGTTGCTTTTTACTCTTTCTGAGCAGTAAATATTTCAACAAGAAGGAATTGAATGTCTTTTAAAGAGTGTGTTGTGTCAAAGGTTTAGTATTCTGTCTAAACCCATTCTGAGGTTATGTGGAGAAGTCTACTAGACTGGCATTCTGGAGTTAAGAGAACCAAAAATAACTTCAGAACCTCAGCAGAACTACTTTTCTCAAATGATTGTAGTAGGTGTTCTGCCCTTCCTTGCAGCTGCATGTTATGTAATGAGCATCTCCCTTGGAGGGTGAACAGACTGAATCTAAAATCTCCCTTGTGATTCTGAAAATAAGCTTTTACCCTAAGATGCTTGCTGCATTTCCAAACAAATAGGAGCCCCAATCATACTAATGAGTTGTGTCCAAAGTAGTACGTTTTTAGAGGAGCAGATTTAATTGATCACACTTTATTGGGTATCCCCACTGCTTTTTCTTCTCAATAGTTGACTAATCTAGTATTAATCTATGTTTTGGAAATGAGGAAATAAGGAAAAGGTATAACACGTATGAAAATTATACAAATTCTGTCTCCAAACTGGATAAAACCCAAACAAAATAAGCTTTCTGTAGGGGATGTTATGAATGTGCTATTGATTTCTATTTCATGTGCAAACTTATGAAAGGTATTCTTAGAATATATAGTAGGTCTTCTTGAAAAGTACCAGTAGTGCCTATCCTCACAACACTGGCATTTTGCAGGCTGCTATTCAAATAAATTCAAATGAGAAATGGTGTATTTGTAATATCCATATGGTTATATTCCTATATGTGTTGTCTGTCTGTCTATCTTTGGTTAGACCCATTCTCAGTTGTGTTCCTTTTTCTGTTCCAGAAAGCAGTAGACATGCTTTTGGATAACGAAGCTAAAATTTCAGTGAGTATGCAAACCATTCCTGATACAGTAAGCTGAGTGCCTTCCCATACACATCTTTTGGTCCTATTGACATGGTAATAGCGACAGGTTTGCTCATCCATATCTTTTTTTTGCTTGTTTTTGTTTTCAGATTGATAAAGTTGTAGAAGAACTGGAAAACAGACCTGAACTACAACATGTGGTAAAGCTTAGTGGTTTTGGTTACTTTACTTTTGAGTTGAATAAACTTACTGGAGCTTTCTTAGCATATTTTTTATAAATATAGTTAGTGATTTAACATGCAAATTCCTAATCTGTGACAGGGAATAAAGGTATATACCACTGAAGTCTTACAGCCAAAGTTCAATTTTATGGGTGGTAGAGAGGCAGAATTACTGTTCCACTTTAACTTTGAGCTAAGAACATTCGTGGAATAATACATAATTTTAAAGTAAACTCCTTTTGATCACCTACTGTGGGACATCACATGTAGTTTTGAACTGTAAAGTATCCCTTCTTTCCCCCAAACATCTATCTGTTGTTTTTTTCCCATGTTCTTTGTTCTTCCCCCCATACAGTAATGAGGTTGGCTGATTTTTTTTTTCTTTGTTTACTTAAACGTTGGTTTAATATTTAGGATTATGCTTAGAAAAAGAGAGACACTTGCTTTTCCAAAGAGTGCAATGATTTTTTAAATTTGTTCAGAATTATATTGCTGTCTTTAAATACTTTGGGGGGAGGGCACTTGTCTTATCAACTTGTAGACAAAAGCAGGAGGGTTAAAAACCTTCATGTTGGCGGTGTCATTTGGATTGCATAATGGAGTGCTAATTATAGGAAATGCATGTATTCAGTGCAGTCTAGAATCAAAGAGCCTTATAAAATGAAGGGCGTTAACTGTGTGCCAACTTCTGAGAGGCGTGTGTCAGTTTTGAAGTGTTATGTCAAATTCATTTGGAATAAAAATTACATTTCAGATAATTTTTGACTAATTCATGTTTTCTTGAGGGGTGGAGCTTCTTCCACTCTGCAACTTATACTTTGAAATATTACTTTACAAACAATTAAATATTGATCCATAATCATCCAGTCAGTGCAGCTTATCCAAAGAAAATAGGAAACTTGCGGTGACATTTTTTTCTACGTTTTTTTTTTTTCTTTGAAGTCCAAAATGTACCAGTTCAAAGAATGTTGCACTGAGGAATAAAGTGTATGCTTTATCAAAGCACTGACAAAACTCCATTGCTTGGTAGAGCTTGCACTGGATACTGTGATGCTGGGGAGGGAGGGTGTTGTAGAAAGAACTAATTTTTTTTTTATTTTTATTTTTTTTTAAGAAAAAGGACTTGTGCTCTCATCCTTTTTGGATGTTTTGATGCAGTCTCAGGGAAATTACTGGCTGTGGTTTTACAATTTTGCATGAATGTATGCGTGCTTATTCTTTTTGTTTTTATAGTATTTGCACAAGCTTTTCAAAAGAGACCATCATAAAGGACAGAGATACCATGAGAAACAGATCAGCCTCTATGCTGAATATGATCGTCCAAACCTGCTCCCATTTCTCAGAGACAGCACACACTGTCCATTAGAAAAGGTAAGCCAAACAAAGATCTAAAACATGTCTACCTTGACTATATTTATCAGCATCTGGCTGAATTGCTAATTTTTGTGCTTGTGGTGTGCACATGTATGCAGGTATACCACTACCCTCTAGTGGATCAACATGGAATTGCTACTTTGCCACCTTTAGTCCTTTGCCTTTAAAATGATTCCTGACAGCTAGCAAAGAGTTTCTCCATTAGTTCAAATAGCAGAGTTTAGTGTGTTAATGGAGCGGTTCTCTGTGATTTGTGTGTAGCTTTATATATTGGCCATGGGATTCTGCATACATGCTGTAGGTAGCAATGGCTACAAGGAATCAAGTACCATATTTTCTTGTTTATAACATGTACATTTTCCTCCAAAATCAGCCCCCCAAAATTGCAACTTTTAAACAGGGAAGCTGATTTTTTCCCCCAAAATAGAAACACCCTGCTTTGATTCCACTTCCACAGTGCAGCAGCTCTTATATTACTAACTATTCAGGTAGCTAAGGGAGTCAGTTGACTTAATAGCTTGTTGTCTTTATGGCTTACCACTCCAAAGGTGTTAACAATCATCTCTCCTTTTTAATGATGTACCACTAATGTAGCCAACCTTTCTTGAGACAGTAAAACTGTCTGCTAATTCCTAGTTTCTTCTCCTATTTCACAGCTTTTTAGCTCTTTCCGAATAATTGGTTTCTATGGGTGGACTTATCTTTAACAATAGCTGGTACTTTAGTTAAGCAGGAAAAGGAGGGTGAAGTCTGCCGAAGATTAGGCTCCCTCTCTGCTCTCTACAAAAAATCTTTTTTCTTTATTCCACCTTTCAAAAACAAGGTGTATATTATAATCAGGAGTGTTATGTGATAAAGCACAGTGGGTGCATGTGCACATGCTACTAATGCATAGCAATAAACTCCAGAGCAATTTGAGCCAGAGTCAACTACTCCTGGGCACAGTGTTTACATGTGCGCCCAAGAGCACAGCAATGTGAGCTGGGGTGGAGCAGCCCCGGGCTGGCAGGTGGTATTGGGAGTCAGCTCTGGGCTCCAGGTGGTGGCATCAGGCAGAGGAGTGACTGGCAGGACACAGGGGTCTGACCCCCAGCTGGCTGGGCTGACAAGGCACAATTTGTGCCTGGCAGTCGCTGTCTACACATGCATTTGGTCACAATGACCCTGTTGTACTGTCAGGGACAGTTGTATCTTACAGCAGAGTTAATTAGCTTGCTGTGTCCTAATATTATTGCACATCTAGGTGGTGATGCTTTACTGCAGATCTAATTGGTCAATTCCGCAGTAAAGTGCATGTGTAGATGTACCCAGTATATTGTAAAGTTTTGGGCCAAGATTAACATTTTACTCTTAAAAGTAAGACAACTAAATTATAAGGAGATTCAGAAGCTAATGGCAGTTTGGAAATAAAACCATTTTGTGTGCAATGATCACTTCTCTGCATAGTTGTAAATGATGGGTATGTTTGACCATGCAACTGTCATTGTTCACTGCTGCTGTGTAGTTTCCCACCGTCGCAGACATTCAGCATGGGCAGCCATTTTGCTGTTAGTTTCTGATATGCCCTCTGCCCTCATACTATAACATAGCTGCATTTGGATATACAGGTTTCCCTGGCTTTATACTGTACACGCGTTCCTGGAAAACAGCATATAACTCAAATTCACATAAAGGGAACCCTCTTTACAATGTAACAAATAGGGATACATTCCAAGACCTTGACTGTACTGACCCCCAGATCCATTTCTACCACTTTTACAAGACAATTTTGGTACTCGCCAACAGCAGACAGTACACACAAGCACAGGGCACTATCATAATGGGGATGGTGACTACAGAAACACGAGTTGTAGACAATGAGCGAGGAGCACAGATCCACACAAGAAACTGTATTTTGGTGTGTATCACTCCCACAATGCACTGCACAAAGCAGCTGCCTGCGGGCTTCTGCCACACTGATCGCATAAGAGTGAATTTACCTCGCATGTAACAAATTTTTGGTATAAAAATGGTCATCACATAAGAGCAAGTTCGCACATACAGAACCCACATAAAGCAAGAGAAGCCTGTAATTAGTTTTTGCAAATATGTGAAACTGTGGGTTTGACGCACATCTGGGAGCCCTTGGACTTAAAGGAGCTAAACCAAAAAATCACATTAATGTTCAGATGAAGTGTGCACACCTGCCTCCAGTCTTTTACTTCCTGACTGGATCTTGGCAATGAAGCATTAGATTTTGATGCCCAGGGCAAAGCTCAGAGCTGCTGCATGAGAAAAGCTAACAGTCCTAACTTAGGATTCTGACTGATTTGCATGACTGTGGTTAAGAGGAGATAGGCCGTGGAAGCTTTATTTGAATAAATAAGCTATTCTCTTTTTCACCCTACAGAGATGCAAAATAGCCCTGCGTTAGTGTATATATTCCACAGTCCTTTAGCCGCAATGACTTTATGAGAGTTTTCAGAGAAAAAAACAAAGGGAGCTTGTGGATGCTGAGAGTGTTGGCTGAGGTTGTTCACTGGAGACTATGCTTGTACTGCTTCATTATGCCTCACTTTTTTGAAGGAAAATCTATGGCTAAATTTAATCCTGAACAGATTCCCTGAATAAGGGTTTAAAATTCAATTATAGGCTATTTCTTCAGTTTGATTCGTATTTGTAGCATTTCCATAGAACTAGATCTTTTTATTTTTCTTACGTAGACCACATAAAAAAAAATGTATTACTGCTTTTTTGTCAAACATCTTGGCCTAGAGTTTTAGTTCCGAGTAATGTACAGTATCTGAATCACCAGTGTCTATTGGCTTATATATTCAGGAGGTCTCGAAACCCTAAAAACATTCATGGACATACAATAGCTAGAGGCATGTGTGCTGTGATGACCAGAAGTTCAAAGGTTTACTTCACTAAGCGTATTACTATAAGCTTGTCTTCTACCAATTTGTGCGAATAATCATTTGATAGAACAGATTTTATTGCGGCACCAAACGGACTCTCGTAGCTAACTGAATGGTCTACATTTTTTATGACTTTTTAAAGAATACATTTAAATTAAATTCTTCAGAGAAGGCTGTCAAGGCATATTCCGTTAATAAACCACATTTGGGGAAATTTGTATTAATTCACTCGCTTTAAATAACATACAAATATCTGTGTCCATAAAAGCTTATGGCAGATGGATTCTTTTTAATACCCTGTTTCTCTGCCACATATTTATTTCACTAAGGGGAATTTAGCTTGATCAATGCTATGCTGCTTTGATCAGTGATAAGTAATTTTTTTTTTTTTTTTTTACTTAAGAGGCTGTTGCTTTCTTCAGGACCAAGTGGTAGGATTAATCTGTAATGTTTCCTGATACATCTGAGATAGAAAAAGCCTTAGGAACCCCCAGTACTCCACAAACATTCCCTAACAAAAACACAAAACACTCTGAGGCCAGTGAATATTTTTATACTTGTGCTATAAAAGCCCTGGTAGCTTTTAAATGACTTGCACAAAGAAACATGGTTATTTCAGGTTTGCCGGTTAAACAACGCTAAACTCCTTATCATGGATTTTAATCGCTGGACCACATTCCTTTGTGGCATTGTGGTAGCATCTACTTAATCCTTTCCTCTACTCTGCCCAAACAAAAAATAAGTATGGCACCTAGGTGGACTACTGGCTTGCTTGAGATGAAAGAAGTCTTTGTCATGTACTTAGCGGGGCAAAGATTTTACCATTTTCTCTAAATGGCTGTCGCAGCCACCCAGCTCTTAGCATGTGTAGACACGAAGTTATCCAACCTGCACTGTTCTTGCTTTGCTTTCATACACATTCCCTCCTTCCTGTGGCATCCCTCCCCCCTTCCTTTTGGTCAGTTAGGTCTTGTCTACCTTGAGATGCTCCCCAGTAGCATAATCATGCACACCGTACTGCTCTTGGTGAGCTGCTTCCTAAATTGAAAACAGTGTAGCTGCAGCAGGAGGGCAAATTGGCAGAGTTAACACACCTGATGTACCCTCAGGGAGTTATCTTGCTTCTGATTTAAGGAAGCAGTGTTCCCAGAGTAGCACAGCATGCTTGAGAAGGCTGGTATGGAACATAGATTTTTGCTGTGTGGATATGGCCTGAGCAGCCTTGGGAAATGTTTCTGAGAATTGCAGCACTGTAAAGTTTGAAGTTGTTTAACCAAAAATTTCGACAATAACTTATCTCCAAAGTAGTTTTCTAGTTCCAGAAACAGCCAGGACACTCCAAGAATACATCTTCTCTATTAAAGAAAACTGTGTTTACTCTGATCCTCCACTTGACACATTGTTGCAGGAGCTAAATATCTATATGCAAAGCTATGTACAAGATGGATGGCATTTCCTAACCCTTGAGGGTGATTTTTAAGTCAGCCACAGCCAGGTTTTCATTTCTATACATGCAAAACATTTTCACGTAAGTTTTGTGCGCTGTTGCTTACGTGCGTAAATTGGTGATGCCCAACCAGGACGCTGTGGCATTCTGGCATGCTTACAGATCCTTTCAAAGGTGCCATGGGGTGCCATGTAATGTTATTACTGTTAAGTGGCCAAACATGATTCACGAGATAAATCCAGAGATTTCAGATTGGAATTCATAGTTTCAAAATCATCCTGACTTGTTGTGGTCCGAGTTCTTTGCAACAGAAGAATTGCTCTAGTACATAAAATGAGTGAAAAGTAAGCGCTGGCGTTTTCTGAGGGGTGCCTTATGTCTAACAAGAAATACCTCGCATCTGACAAGGGATACCTCAACTCTAACAAGGTTGAGAACCATCAGCCTAAATGAAAAGGTTTGCATTGAGAGAGAGTGTGCATTCATGGGGTGGGGGGTGAGTGGATGGGCAGAAGAGGGGGTGTGTGTGTGTACGTGTGTGTACATGCCTACTCAAGTGAGGTTTTTTTCCATGCACATCTTGTCACACATTGCAGTTACAATAGTGTAGTCAAAGACAATGTGGAAATCGTGGGGGTACAAGTTTTGGAGGCTTTGCCCTCCAGTACTATTCCAGAGGTGGAAAGTAATGGAAACGGGAAGAGTGCTGCATGTGGGCAGTGCAATCCTGGCTTTTAAGTCAAAGCAAAAGAGAGAACTGCATTGTAATGAAAATCCCTTCATCTCCAAAATTGTTTACATTTTCTACATATGTTTTGATCGGAAAGAAGATGGAGAAAAGGGAAATGACCAAGGCAGAAAATATACAGTCAGTACCTGTTTTCAGTAACAATTTCTAAGGGCAGTGATGGCCTACCACCAACATTTCACCAGGGAACATTTTCCCTAGAATGTATTCAAATGACACTTCCTATAACAGCAGTGAGCACCTAGCTGTAATATACAACCACGACACTGACACATTGCTACTAACAGGTGTCAGTAGGTTTCATTATTGAATTTGCCATCACTGATGCATCTGCAATTATGCTTGTCCCACCTTTAGCCCTTCAGATGTGAAAAGAACAACAATATGCAATTTCCCAGTACTTTTCTGTTCCATTTAAGCAGCTTTGAATATCACACATAAATTGTACAAACATATTGATTCATAGCATATAATGATATGCTGGCCAAACAGAAATTTCTTTAATAAAAACAACTTTTAGGCCAAGGCACTCTTATTCCTGTGCAATTTCAGATATGTGTTTTTATCAAAGAAACTGGGAGAGAAGTATTTTTGTTCTCTGTTTTCCCTCTAGAGGGAGCATTGCAGGCAAGTTCTGGAAATACTGAATGCCTGTGTTTTGTTTTCTTGTTTGGGGTTTTTGGGGTTTGTTTTGAGTATTTTTTTTTCCCCCCCTTGTGGTTCATTTCTCAGTGAAAAAGACTGTCAGCTGCATTGGTGAACCCTTATTCCGCCCCCTCCTTCTCTGTCTCTGTCTCTCTCTCTCGGAACTAAATTCCTAGCTGGCTTCTGTTTTATTGTAGCTCCCCACTGACATATGTGCTTACTGCACCCTTTTACGCAAGCAGAGACGTTGGCTATCCTGCTGTAAACTGAATAAACTTCTACTGGTTCATCCTCTACCCCTTTCTCTGAAAGGGTGAAAGAACATCTTATTTTTATATGCTTGTCTCTTGTTATGGCTTACTTTTTTTAATTCATTCAATCAATTTCAAATATATTCCCTTTTGCCTCCTTTTACATATGTACTTGCAATTGTGTTCTCTTCTTTCTGCCTGCTGATTAGTGCCAGTAACTTTCTTTAGTCCTGGGTATAGAAGAGAAGAAGCTGCTACTTCTCTTAGTTGACCCTTAGGAAAACTTAGTGTTAGTAACTTATAGCCAGTACCTTACTTTTCATACGTCAGTGGCTGCCAAATGTGGTAGATGGAGAGTCTGCTGGTTCTATTACATGTATCCAGCAGCTGAACTGCACAGAAGTCCTTAAGTAGTAGTAATAGTAATACTTGTATGTCTTCATTAGTATTTACTTTTCCACACAAGCCTTTGGACTTTGGAGGTCAAGGGAGGGGAAAGGACCCTGAGAGAATCTCTGTATTAAGGTATGGTCTATGTAAGGGGGTAGGATGATTTGGATGATGCCTGTCCCTGACGTGAGTTTGAGAAGATGTTCCTCGTTCTGAATCCTTGGCATAATACTGACTGAAATATGAACAGCCAACCCCTGGAAACCCCCAGATTAATGAAAATGAATCATTGGGAAAGACATGTCAAAAATATTCTTCCTTTAATTAATTTCCATGGATCCACCAGTGTGCATTGGAGAGCTATGCTGTTTTGCAGCTGGGTAATGAATCTTCAGAGAAAAGTGTCTTTTGGCCTTTAACTTTTTTTTTTTAAATACATTTAATGTCATGGTTCTCCATCTTCACTATTTTCCTCCCTCTACAATTTAAGGCTCTTGAGATCTGCCAGCAGAGGAACTTTGTAGAAGAGACAGTCTATCTTTTAAGTAAGTAACTTCTTTTACAATAACTTGCATTGCATTTTTAATCTTGTCACAAAGTTATGTTGGAGAACCATGTGATGCATTGGATATGGTCATTTTACATGTTTATTCTCCTAGAAACACAGTTGTTATGTAATCAATAGAACTGTCTAACATGATTTAATAAAATACTGGATTATTTATTGTGTTTCACATCATGAATGGAATACTGTACCTGCTTTAAAACAGAACAAGCTCTAGGAGAAGCAAGGCTCTGTCTGATTTTCTGCCCTCCCCAGCTCATTTCTTTGTTTTGCTTGCATCCTTGGAACCTTTAATTCCTGCACCTGTCCTGCAGGGAAAATTGGTGGTTTTATTTTTATAACATGTTTTTGTTGAATAAATCCAGTTTCCTCAGCAGCGAAGGGACCCCGCTTCAGGATGGAAGGAATGATAAGGCGTTGGGTTTGTGCATGTGTGTACCTGGACTGTGGTACATAGAACAGAAAGCAATGTCACGGTTTACCTGAAATAATAGGGAAGATATGGTGCAATTGGCCATAGAGAGGAAACTCTGCATTCAGAAAAGATTCATAGTGGGTTTACACAATACAATGGATGGTTCAGTCCATGGTAATCCAAGTATTTTATAGTCATTGCAATTCAGTTTTGCTTGGGTATCTGAATTTCTTCATTGCTGGCTTTAATTTTCAAGAATTGAGGTGCAAGGAGGGTAGGAGGGGATTGAGAGTAAATAACACTGATTTCCTGCAGAGCAATAACATGTTTGTGCAAGCCCTGTCGCATTTAAGAGAGGCCACAGGTGTTCAGGGGAATTAGAGTAGATAATTTCAACTGTGATAAAGTCTGTAATGAAGGGTGTTTAAAACAAGGCTTGACCATCATGCACAGACCATCGTAACAAGGACAGTTAAGTTTTGATATTTTTTTTTTTCAAGTTGGGTGACTAGAACACGTTTAAATCAGTGGGAGCTATGGATGTTCAGCATCAAGCCCATTTCTACTGAATTTGTGTGTGTGTGTGTGTACGTACATGCACACACACACACATGCACACTCACTCTCTCTCTCTTAGTGCATGTGTGTGTGAGTAATAGTTTATATAAAGTGATAGTTCACAAAACAAAACAACTCCCTCTGCTCTCTTATAGCCCTGATTCAGCAAAGCACTAAAGCATGCACTCTGTATCCCTTTGATTGAACCAGGGTTTGAGCAAATGGTTAAAGCATAGCTTGAATATAAGAAGGAAGTGAGGCCTCTGCTGAAGTGCTTGCATGAATTAGGCTCTAAGACTTCACCCTACGTTCATTAATTAACCAGGAAAATTATCAGCAATACAGATTCATATCAAGGGATGGTTTTCGGTATAGCTTAAAATTTAATTTCCTTATTTTTTCCCTCTAGGCAGAATGGGTAATAGCCGCAGTGCCCTGAAGATGATAATGGAGGAATTGCACGATGTAGATAAGGCTATTGAATTTGCCAAGGAGCAAGATGATGGAGAACTGTGGGAAGATCTCATTTTATATTCCATCGACAAACCACGTAAGCAAAAGAGGCTCCAGGTCATGCTGTGTGGGGTAAAGTGCTGCAGTAGAAGACTGTTAGGAGTTAAACTGTTATTGTGCATGGCAAAAAGGATATATTCACATTGTTTTGGGAACTGTGCCAGATTGCATAGTGCAGCAGGGTATATTGTAGTGTAATAATTTTTAATGCTGAGGAAAAAGAATCCTCCAGTATCACAGTGCCTGAAGGTAATAAAAGGCAAATGCCACACTATTTGGTGCCTGGCAGTATGTATATTGTTACCTACAGAACTTCATGAAATAATATATCTCTTTCAAGTTTATATCAAGTGAGACTATATTTTATCTCCTCAAAATTGACTTTCAGACTACGTTGTTAGGAAGTTATAGCTTTTGCATGCAGTATATATACAGGAGAGGTGGCATATAAATTCTCAACTGTCAAAGTAATGATCATCCTAGAGCTTTTGGCTTTTTTTTTTTTAATCAGATTAATTATGCTAGATTCTTTTATATCTGTTTTTTGTCTCTTCTCTCCCTGTCTTCCCCTCTCCTCCCCAGCCCTCCAAATTGGGTGCAAACAGAAGGTCTATTAGCTTACTGTGTGTCAAATGCCTACCTGTGTCTACCTGCCTTCCCCATTCATCTGCTCCTGGTTTAGGGTACGCATCATGTATTAATGAGGAGATAGAGCATTTGTAAAATGCTTTATGCTATATAACTTTGCTCCTCTTCTGGGACACCAAAGATTATAGAACTGTTTCTCTTTTCCGCCAGAGCCCAGATGGGTGACAGAATTAGCATAGCAACATTTAGCCACAGTTCAGACCAGATCTGAAGTCCTTACCTGTTCTTAGACCCTGTACACAGTACATTTATGCTGCGATTAACATTTTAATCACAGGATAAATGACAAGACTACTACATGTCCGTCCAATTTAAGGAGCCATAAAATGGGAAACTACCCATAAAATTGTTCCTCATATAATGCAGAACAGTTTTGTAGCTGGTTTGTATGGCACCTTAAATTGAACATCAGTTGATTGTCAGCTCAAATCCGAAACTGGCCTGAGTGCAGTCCTTGTCAAGCCGATAATCTGTTCCGAAGTGCTCTGGTGGCCCGGTTCCATGGCCTGAGCTGATAATCAGCTGATTGTCTGCTCCAGACCTGTGGGCACCCACTTTCAGTTTGCCACTGCTGGGATTAAGATCTTGGGATCCCTTTGCACTGGCAGGTAGGGTACGATTGGGATCTGATCCCATGCATGTGTGGCATAGCAGGAAGCCCAGTTTTTTGGATTGGGGATCAGCTCCCATAGTGCATTTAAATTTAATATCTGTCTTAACCTGTTAAAGATGAATTTGGTATTCTCAAGTAGTGTGCTTGATCCATATTGAAAAGAAAATCATTGTTGATCATGACACTAGTTTGGCGCACACACTTTTGATCTCAGGAGATTAGTCTTTAAAGATTATGGCTATCCGAAAACTGTATACTTACTGGGCAGGGCAACCATTCATTGCATAGCTTCAGACATGCTACCCCTACATAACTAGAAGTAGTGTACCCATGTTTACGCAATACTAGGGGAGAGGGATAGACTATTTTGGTACTGCCACTCAGCAGTGCTAATGAATGCATTGTCACAGATCTCGCTCCCCCGCTGTCAGTTGGATTGCAGGATTAGTGCACATGAAGTAACGTGGTGTGTTTTGAGGTTACTAGCGCTCGGTAGATTAAGTTTGTAGCTAGTGTTCTGCATTCTCAGATTTTATTTAAAAAAAAAAAAAAAAAATCCGGAAATTTTTTCAGTGTTCATCTTCGAAACATAAAAACTGGGATGAAATCAAAATGAAAGGAAGAAAAAGAAAATCAGTTTAAATCAGGGAAAAATTGGTGGTCAGGGAGGAAGGGAATAAAACTGGGACTAGGGAAGGGGTGGGGGAAGGGGCATGGCACAGCCCGTTGGCCACTTCCAGGTCTGCAGCAGGGAGCAAAGCGAGGGGAGCTGTCAGTGGGTGCAGGGCGGGGGGGGTACAGCTCTTGCTGCTACATGCCCCCCAGGAGGGCTGTGGGCTGGGGGGCCTGTGCTGGGCTCTTTCCAGGGGGCACGTGCCCCTGGATCAATGACAGGAAGCACGTGGTACTGTGCCCTGCCTTTCTTCCCTGGCTGCATTTGTGCTCCTCTCCCCTGGTGCAGCAGCCTGCTGCTGGGCTACCCTGGCATTTGGGGGAGGGGGAATGGGACATGGCTGAATGTGGAGTTGGGGGACCCAACCCTGGCACCGGCACCTCCCACCCCACCTGGGGTTAGAGCTGGGAGCCCCATGCCCCCAGGCAGCGTCTCCAGCCACCCTCCCCTGACCCCCACATAGCCACCACCACCCGATGGCCCTCATATCGCATGCGGCCACCGCTGCCGCCCCCCTTCCCCCCAACATCTGGCCAGAAACCTGTCCCTCAGGTAACTGGCACTTTTAGCTTACCAGCACCACCCATTTTTCAGTTCAAATCCCTGTTAACTGGCCATTCCCCACTCATGCTGGTTAACAGGGATTTGAACTGAAAAACAGGTGTAAATCAGTAAAAACTGAATGACTTAAAAAAATCAGGGAATTTATCAGTGAAAATTGGTAAAAACGGAGAATGCGGAACACTATTTGTAGTGTACCCGTGGCCTAAATTATCAGGAGCTGGATTGGAGGAAAAACCTCGAGCTCAGCTTCTAGAATTTTATCTGCCTTCTCAGCCTGCACAGTCAGTTAGGTGGTCTTGCTCTGTTACTTGGGCCAGGACGGAGATACTGTGTCTCAAATTACTCTCCTCTCCTTATTCCATGTAGCCAGTTGGTTGACCAAAAATTCAGAGCGGGGATGGAGGAAAAACACACTGTGTGGGCTTAGTCACGCGGGCAAAACCTAACTGGAGTTCATTGAAGGACCTGAAAATTTCTTAATATCTATTCTGTACTTGAAAAACAATTGTATTGAAATTTCAACTACTTCTTCTATGTGATGAGGTTCCCTAAAACCTTCACTTTCTAAATTAAACTTCTAACTTAAATTGCGTGCGTGTAATATGTTGTTTTCTTTTGAGTTCTCGCACCATTATATACTCTGGGATTTACTTTCCAGAGTCTCAAAGACAACCTTTAAGGAGCAGTTAGTCATGTATGTCATTGTCTTTCCTTCTTGAAGAGAGATGTGTACAAGTAAAGGTAGTTTCCTACAAGAAATGCATGAAAAAGGCTTAACATAGGCATTATGGCAATTCTGTCAAAATCAGGTGAATGTTGTGGCTTTTGTCAAAACACGTTTGAATCGGGCATCTTATTGGAAGTTAATTTTGCTATTTTCTGCCTATCTCTTTCTGCAGCATTTATTACTGGCCTGTTAAACAACATTGGAACTCATGTTGACCCCATTCTTTTAATTCACCGTATTAAAGAAGGAATGGAGATTCCTAATTTGAGAGACTCGCTGGTGAAAATTCTTCAGGATTACAACTTACAGGTAGCTTCCTTATTTTCTCTCTGCCTCAGTGATATCCATCCTCAGAGCAATTGTAGAACATTTTTGTCTTTAAACGTTCTGAGAAGATAGCAGGCTAATCAAGAAGCAACCACTTGCTTTTGTATTGAGATGTTTCTATTGCGACACTCCATGTTCAAAACCCAGTTTGACTATTTGTGAAACCTTAATCAAGATTTCAGAAATGACTGTCAGTTCGTCGTCTTAGTGAGTTTTTGTGGTTCCATGTAACTCTTGACTCTCTTCTACACCCTGGCTAGTAAGTAGAATAGGGGGGGACCCTAGGTTATTTTATGCAAAACTATCCCTACTTTATCATGTCTGTGAGATCTCCCTGTGCCTACTGTTCTATTTGTTCTGTCCCAGATGAGTCCATGAGTTATGAGCTTAAAGGGAACTTCACTGGGTTACAGCACTTCACTATTATATGGGAAAAAATGTTTGAGTTGGTTTGCTTGGCTGCCAGTTTCCTGAAATTTGCTACATAAAGAAATGTGCTACTTTGCTAGTGCTTTTGGGGGACAGAGATCCAGATACATTCTGATACAGTTGATTTTATTTGCTATGCATAATGGCCTAAAAAAACCCAGAAGGTCCCTATCTACTACTGTGGGCACAGTAACATTGTTTAAAGTAAGCAAATAGTCAGTGAAAAAACTGCATTCCCAATGGGCATTTTGAAACCAAAACTCTCTGTCCCTTGAAAGTCACCGCTCCCACCTGCCTCTGCCCTATTCAGTCCTAAGCTTCTGAAAGGCAGGCCCTAGAAAGCTTAATGATCAGGAGTCCTGATTATTTCAAGCCAAAGATAAATGCACTATAGGCACTCAGAAAAAAATTTCAGTTGCCTGTTGCATCGAAGGGGAACCAGTTTGAGCATGCATGGATTACCATTAGGCCAGTATGGCATGGGGAGAGCCAGTCTTTTGAATAGGCGGATCATTATCATTTTAAAACTTTTGTTTAATAACATAGACTTTAGATAATGGCCATGTACAACAAGCATTGCATCTGTGCTGGGAGAGAGGCCTCTCTCCCAGCACAGAGAAACTATGTAGCCTTTCAGGTACTTCCTTGCAGAAAAAAAATGGCTGTTCTGCAACAAAGTTCTTCCTTCAACCAGGAAGTTCTTGCCCCCCCCCCCCCCCCCGCGGCGA